TCTGACCAAGGTCGGCAATTTGATAGCCAACTTTTTCAAGCTTTAGGAAAATATCTTGGTTTTCATACAAACACTACAACTGCGTACCATCCACAGGCAAATGGCCTGATCGAAAGACAACACCGAACTTTAAAAGCAAGTCTCAAATGTCATCTACTCGAATCAAAATCATGGCTGGAAGCATTGCCTTTCGTTCTTTTTTAGGCATAAGATCTGCCATCAAGGAAGACTTAGGTTGCTCATCCGCAGAACTTGTATACGGAACCCCTTTAGCATTACCTGGTGAATTCTTTTCAACAGTACCTCATATGAAACAGTCTGAATTTTCTCAAAACCTTCAGAAAATAATAAGAGCTATGAAGCCAAGTTCTACCACCACCCATGGAAATAGAACAGTCTTTGTTTCTAAACATCTTTCCAACTGTTCTCACGTATTCCTATACAACAACATTAATAATTCGTCGCTACAGCCTGTCTATCTTGGACCGTATCCTGTAAGAGCAAGAAAGGATAAGTACTTCGATATTGAAATCCAAGGAAAAGTTAAAAGAGTTTCAATAGACAGACTAAAGCCATGTTTCCTAGTGCAAGATTCTGATATTCCTTTCCAAAACTCCCATTCCAAGAAAGCGGAACTTGGGGAAACACCTGCACTCAAGAACACTGAAGAAAATTCAGAAACTCATCATGAAACCAAGACTACTAGAACCGGCAGACATGTGAAGTTCCCCAGTCACTTTAAAGATTATCTTCCATAATCGCTGTCACTAGGAAGGGGTGTGTAGTGTCGCTTCAGTTCCGTTAAGTTTCTAATTAAATTTAGTTAAAGCGGAATGGCAACACCTTCTAGTCTCCGCGAAGAACGAAGTAAACAAACTTCGGGTTTCTGTCACGCGATTCTACGTGCATGTAAAATGTAAATAAATCTTATGAATAAGAATCTATAACTTCGTAAGGAATAAAATATTGGTTCCATTGGAGTCAGAGAAGTGTTATTTTCTTACATTTGCATACCAGACACTTCAGTATATTGTATTATCATAACTATTTGAGTTTTACACAATTGAATGTAAAGCATTGAAGAGGTTAATATTATTTGTAGTATAATCAAAGTCTCAATGACAAATTGTATTGTAGAATATGTTGTGAAAAATTACGGGTTAAAGTTTACTTCTCATATTTTAAACTGCTATTTGCTTAAAATAATTATATATATATATTTATTTATATATAGAGAGAGGGAGCTAGGGAATTGTCAGATTGTTGTCATAATTCGGGCTTACATCATGGCATTCTTAGCAAAGGTTAGAAAAGATTATCTTTTAACCTTGGCTGAAGAGTTAGGGAAAAAGGTCAGACCTGAGATTAGAATACTGCTTCTAATACAGCTGATTATGAGAAATGATCTTATGAGGAGGAACTTGTGAAAGATCTGTTGCAAATTACTGCTTCAATGAGGCTTCAGAGAGAAGAGAGGCAGGATAGAATTAAGAGAGAAGAATGGGATTTTGAATTAACGAGATTTTGAAGTTACAAGCTGCAGTCAATAGGAAAAGTTTGGAAGTTGGACACTATTTACTCAGAAATCAGACTGCACAAAAATTATAGGAAATCAAAATGAACATGTCTTTTGTCAAGAACCGATGTACAAGAGTCGATATCAAAGAAACCAAGAAACTGTTAGTACTGAAACTGAAAATGGGCAAAAATATAATGAAAGGAGTGAAGATGGCAGGTGCTTAACTAACAGGGAAATTTCACCCTCTGTTAGGAGGCAATCAGCTAAGAAGGCCCAGAAGGCAAAACTAGCTTTCTCTAAAGAAAACCCTATTGGGCAACACAAAGATGAATGAACTGTCTATTCATTCATTTGATACGACTCAAAATTCTCACTTACAAAGAGAAAGTGATGATTTGAAAACACCCATTTATTTAACATATTTAAACTCTCAAAGTTTTCCTTAAGAAGCAATTATCTGACAGAAAACGAAATGCTATTTAAAGACCTGGAAAATGGTTAGAAATCACTGGTCATTCCAGAAATAATTCAAGAAATAAACATAGATATATGCAGACCCTTGCCCACTATACCTAGGAGAAAGAAAAATATACTAACCACATCTTGTTTATCCTCCAACTACCAGGAGACGATTCCAATAGAAGATATCACTTCTGTTACTGAGGTGGATGCATTACTAAAACCTTCCACCAGAATGAGAATTTCTAAATAAATTTGACACGATCAAAAAACTTTGGTTATGCCAGTTTTAGCCTTTTACCAACCAGACAAATTCTCAGTAAATTTGACAGAGTCTGAAATTTTCAGAAGTAGTTTGTCCGAAATAAATTGCGTTGTAAATTTACCAGAGAAGAAAGATCCAATATTCACCATCTCATTACGTTAAAACCTTATACAGAGAAACCTATTAGGAATAATTATGCATATTTTATAGATAAAGTAAATCAAATTGATAATGAAGTGGGTTTTTCTTTTATTGATATGCCATATTATATATATATGATTATTCTGAGGTCATTAAGTGCAGTATTTCAGGATTAAGTTTCAGGTTTCCACAGAGAGATTACCAGAAACTGATGTTCAAATATCCACAAGGCTTTCATTTTTAACCTGGATAAATACATAATCAATATAAGATAAAATTCTAGTTTCTACAAGTGTAATTTAGTTTAGTATTTAGTTTTGTGTTTTTTATGCTGGCCTCAATATAAGTTCATATTTTTTTATCCTTGGTACTTAACCCAGCATAGTTTACAAATTTTGTGCTTAGATTCATTGTTTAGTGCTTACTAGCAGTGATAATTAAGCAATCAGGTGCATATAAATTCATAAAATTAAGCAAAAGATATTGGAATTCTGCACACCCCCTAGGAGAAAGGGATTGTAACAATCCTCAGGTTTGATGGAATGTCAGGATTAAATTAGAAATTAGTTTCTTGAGAAAGAACCATGGGATCCGCTAAATGATCGGAAAGTAATCAACAAAGGAAACTCATTAAGGAGCCCCTCTTCCTTGTGAGGTTTCCTTACGATCATAACGTAAAAGGAAAGGATGAGGCTTTTGTCCAAAAAAATGCCATAGGTATAAGTCGTGCCAAGTGATTATGTGATCCGCATCACATGGAAGTTTTGTCTTTGTTCAATAGCTGTACAGATGATTTGCTTTATTAACCAAGAAATCTTTATTTAAGTTTTAAAATAAATATTTAAAAGACCACTGGACTGATTATTTTCCATCTCAGAAGTTCACTTATGGTATTGCGCCTATATGTTACAGGATTACCAAACATGGAAAGCAACACATAACAGAGGATCTCAAAGATTAATTTTTAAAAAGCAAATTTTGGTTGTAAATAAGGCCATGAATCCCATTCACAAATGGTAATTTCATTAAAAAGATCTATTCTTTAAAATTATCAATGCAAATACAAAAACTCACAACCTCTTTAAAACTCTGAGCACATTTGTAGAAAATAATTTGTAGTGTGCAACATTTTCCTTAGACTGGTTAGTTTAGTCATTTTAGAAAATAGCAGGCATTTATTCAAAGCATAGCACTACTGTCACTATTGATCCACTGGATCAAAGAAAATGATCACATCAAAACTTTGGATCTTTCAAGTGAATCCGATAATAGCTTATGTGGTAAATGAGAAATAATTCATAAAAACCAGATTTTTTTTGGTAGAGCTCAGAGATTTGTACAACATTTTCTGAATTTATATGCACCTGATTGCTGCTTGTAAGAAGGAAATGAGAAAATTTTGAAATAAGCTGAGAAAACATCAGCTTAAATAAAAAAAAAAAAATTAAATTAGAGCTAGCTTTGTAAAGAAGAACAATGAAGACGGTGATCTCAAATCTAGCTGATTTCTCTGGAGGCATACAATCTGCTTTTGAAGAATATCTACCACATTTCAACAAATCCAAACTAGATGACAAAATATGATTATATGTTTTAAGCCTTCATGGAAAACTTACTAACAGAAACTAACCAGCAAGCATATGTACATACAATAAAAAATTATGAAGAGTTCATGCAGTATGCTCCACTGCTAAGAATAAAATAAAATCCACTGCAAACAATCAAGGTTTTGTGGCTCAGTCATACACCAACTGCTTTGAATGCTCTTCCAAAAAGATATTAATAGATTTGAATGGATTCACGATCAGTTTAGGGTGGACTTTCTATTTTAATTTATTTCAGTAGAAGAAAATCTTAATGACTTACGCTGAAAACTAATTTGGAGGCATAAAAACTTCCTCACTTTCTGATATTGGAAATAAAATGAACAGATTGTAAAGCTCAGCTAATTTTAATTCCTTTTGCAACAACACATTTGCATGAAGTTGTGTTTTTCTATCACCATAGCTGAAAAGCAAGTATTGTACAGAAATCAGTAGGATATGAGGATGAACTGTGCAGTTTCACTCCAGGATTTATAATGCATTCTGCAAAAGATATACTCACCTATCTAATAATTACTAAATTTTATTCAAGAATATGACTGTTTAAAAATAAGTAATTTAAATTATGTATTCTTTATAAATTTGAAATGTGCATTTCATTAATATTTTTAATCAGCCAAACCTAATTGCACCAACTGTGCATTGCAACTGTGCATTATGTTTTGAATATGGGCAGATTCATGACCATTCAGAACACTATGAAACAAATATGTTTGGAAATAAATGATTTAATCATAAATGGCATGTTTATTTAAATTTTGCTTTAATTCAAGCTTTTGTCAAGGTTGAGAATTGCTTCATTTGCAATGCATTCACCTAATTTTTCTAATGTACAACAAAAATCTAATATACTTAATACTAAAACATATAAAGCGAAAATCTACATTTAACCATAGCTTGGAATATTATTATTTCAAAATTAAACATATGACTTTAAATCTAAATTAAGAATTCTTATATAAGAATCAAATGAACTTAAATTTCTTAATTTTTATTAAATAAAAAATCTTACAGCTCTCTTCCTTGTCCTGACATCTTGAATCCACCAAATGGAGTCTGAGGGGTTGTAGCATCATAACAATTAACCCTGTAAAAGGGAATAAGTATTAAATTATTGGTGGAAAAAAAAATGTAAGCTTGTTGGTATTAAGTACAATACATGGTAGATTTTTTTATATTTATCAGAATGAAGTTTGCTTTAACTTTCTAAGGATATATATGAACAAATCTGTAATTATATAGAATAAAAATTGAAAAGCGGGGGGGGGGGGGGGGGTTTCTCACATTCATACATCAAAATTCTGCTCTTGATTTTAAGAACATAGTTACTGACAGAAATTTTAAACTTAATATATCTAAAAATTTATTTAATTTTTTATTTCATAAATAAATTATATCTTTCGATTAAAAAAAATATTATTTCACTTCTACTTGTAAAAGATACTATATTATAAATATACTACACTGTAAAAATAATCCATGCATTTAACTTAAAAATTGCATTTAACTTAAAAATTACTTTCTTAACTACCAAACATTCATATTTCTCTGTTTAAAAAGGTTTTATTACAATCAAACTACTTCACTATTTTAAATAGCTCACCAACATATTAATTACATCACTTGCATTAGCTAGATTAAAAAATTGTATAAAGTGATCCAAAAAAGGTGAAATTAAAAATTTTTTTAATCATTGTCAATATCTTAATATTGTATACTTCATTTTAACATTTCAAACATTTATTCAGAGAATGTTAACTGACAAGTTTAAGTTTTCTTGAAGCATTCCAGTTACATCAAGTATAATAAATGAAAATAAGTACAGGGTGCAGCAGGGAAACTACCTTATTTTTAAAATGAATAACAAAAATAGAATAAGTGATATCAGTTTAATTTTTTCCAAGTTATACAGAGACTCTTCAATTAGGGGTTTTATTATGGTTTAAAAATAATATCATTAAGGTGGCCTCCGTTCTGGTCAATGCATTGAGATAGTCAAGTCTTAAAATTTCTTTCCACTTCTGCCAAATATGTTGTCGATAGCCAGTTGAGCCAGGGTCTTTGGACATTAGAGATTTCAGATAGCCCCACAAAAAGAAATCACAGGGGTCTAAATCAGGCGAGCGCGCTGCCCACTGACGATTGCCCCATAAGGAGATAAGGTGTCCAGGAAAACGTTCTCCAAAAAACCATGGTCGAATGATGCCTATTCTGGACAATGCACACCAAACAGTCACACGTTCTGTATGGAGAGGCTGCTCATGAAATTCTTGGGGATTTGTGCCATTCCATTATGGCATGTTTTGCTTAATGCATGCTGCATAAGCCTTATCACTAAAGAACACAAGGACATCATGAGGCACATTGTCAAGAACGGCTTCGCATGCATTTTTTCGTAAAAGAAAATCCCGTGGATTAAATTTTTGCAGCACTGTCAATTTATATGGATGAAAATGCAGTACGTTGAAAGTACACGACTCTATGGTGACTGCATAGACTCTCTCGTCCACTGCATGATCGGTACTAAACCTACACAACATAAAATGTTAGATACCACTCTTTTCAATGAGTGCCACCCTACCCTTCTCAGAATAATGTTGTGTGTTTCAAATAAGGAAGTTCCCCTGTTGCACCCTGTACTTTCCCCCTAAATCAGATGAATCTGCTCATTTTGATTTCTACTACTATAAAGCTCTTTTGATTATATATGGATGAAGGCCAGAAATATACTTCCTGAAGCCCTTATTTCAATATGGAGTATTTATTCCTACATTATTCAGTGTTTCTGGCACATTTTGCTCTCCCGCAGAAAATGAAAGCGACAACTAGTATTAATATCAGTTTATAAGTAATCATGTAACCCACATCTTTTAGTTACCTATTTTTTAGATGGTGGCACTATTAGTGATTATTGTTTTAATGTTTTAATGGTGCCATCTAGAAATAAATAAAATTGATAAATCACATACTACAGTACAAAGTCCGTAATCCGGACTCATTGGGACTTCGGCATTTCCGGATTAGGGGTTTTTTCGGATTATAGATCATCAATTTAAATCTGGTAAGATGGCATGCAGAAATTATACAATTAAAAATATGAAACCATAATTTATGAAAAAAAGAGCAATTATGATCCAAAGGGTATTAAATTTTACAAAAAAACTTAATATTTATTTGTTTACTTAATATTTAAATACTTTATTAAACATTTCTTTCATCGCGCGCATGCATAAAGCATTCATTACACGCAAGCGTAATGTATGTGCATTTTTTATGCACATGCGTAAAGTTTGTGGCTTTGAGGTCCGGATTATGGACTTTGTACTGTATATGATTAATATCGACGTCAATTACATAAATCATTTCAATACTGGTTTCAGTAACTGCTAAAAGAAATACAGTAGAAGTCCAGAAATCCACAAAGCTTGGGACCAGAGGTTGTGCGGATTTTAGGGATTTCAAGACAGAAAAGATAAAGCATAATATTCGGACTAAAAGTGCAAAATAAATAAGGCATATCAGATACATTTAATTAAATTACTATATACATTATTGCAATAATTTATCGTAAATTATTATTACATATATAAATTGATTATATTATTCATTATATTATATGTACACAGCATCAAGGTTTGCCAATTTCGCCTCATACAAAGATTTCCGGTTTTGGATTCCGGTGTTAAAATCACTGTTGCTGTAAAATTTCAACAGCTTTTCTTTATTTTTCAGTATATCATACACAATCATGTCGCAATTCCATACCATTCTGCTATAAATCGGGCACCTGCCTCCATCTTTTGCAGAATTTGCAGTTTTTACATTACCATCAATGCAACATGTTTATGTTTTTCAGCGTTGCAAGCAGTAAAATCATGAGTGCGTTTCTTATCTGTCATTGTATTCAAAAGGGCTGAAATTTAAAATATTCTTAATTTATCCACAAAATATACGGATTAAAAAAAAAGGTAGCACTAAACAAGCTCGTAACAAAGCTCAGAAAATACAACAACGTGAATCGTGAACTTGAACAAAGAGTTGAGCGAATCGTCTGCTTTTTTACCTCGATGCAGATTAGAGGGAGAAAAACTTTCATCTTATTTATTTTTTTAACTCTTTTTCTGTCAATAATTTGGTATTTCCTTTATGACTCATTCAGTAGTTATGACGTCATTATTTGGTAAGTATTTTTTCTTCGATATTTCGTACTCAATGTTGTGATTTCCGGAACCCTATAAACTGAATGTTTATATTTTGAGAGGCAATGCGGATTTCAGGTCGGCAGATTTTTGGTATTTGACTGTACTAGCAGAATATCATACTGATATTGCAATTCAGTTCCAAAATATGGGAAACTAGATACAAATATTAGTTTTCTAAACAGCAGTTTTTTTTTAATGCATGTGTGATGATGACTTAAATGTCATGTGTGATGACATTAAATTACCACGTTTTAACTTAAATAATAATACTCTACTTAGTCAAACAGTGATTATGACTGCTGAATACCAATACTTTGACCTGTCGGTTCAATCCTAGACAAACAGGCTGGCTGCAAGGTTGAGTTTTGAGGTTTTGCCCATGAATACAAGCAAATTTATCTTAGAAAGTTCTCCATGAAGGCACTCTTCTACATAGACAAATAGCCCTCATGGCTTTGCCATATTCAAATAATCTAAACTTAAATAATAATAATTTTAATAAGCATTTTGTTACATAATCTTTCCTTAACAATTCATTAACAGAAAGTACTGAAGTGAAAGAACTGCGGGTACTGAAGATAATACACAATAGCTTTCATGTTGCTTAGGAAAAGAACTTATTTGTAGCATTTAAAAAAAATCTAGCAATTTTCACTGAATACAAATTCAAAGTTCTGGCTAGGATAGTGATTTATTTTATAATATTTTTCTATTTAAATTCCTATGAAGGCTAAATTAAAATCATCTAAAAATTACGGAATATGAAAATTTTGCAATTCATTAATTTATCTATTATCTGCAAAAACTGAAAAAATTCCACAAAAATTTCAGAAAATAATTCTTAAAACTCATGCCACTAATTATTAATTTATTACTTTAACTAGACGATACATTAAGACATATAGAATAAACAACACAATGCATTTCAATAGTTAATATAAAAGAGAAAACCAATAGAATGCAGTAGGATTCTGTGAAAAAGGTATCCAAATTCATTATCATAAACTAACCAAACAGATCCTGCTTGAACAGCCTGTGCAAATGTTATAGCTGTGTCGATATTCTTTGTGATTACACCAGAGCCGAGCCCATACATTGTATCATTGGCTCTTTCGATGACTTCCTCAAGAGTTTTGAACTTCAATATTTGTTGCACAGGTCCAAATATTTCTTCTCTTGCTATTGACATGTTGTCCTTAACATCAGCAAACACAGTAGGTGCTACAAAATATCCTTTGTTTCCAATCTGTTTGCCACCACAAACTAGTTTTGCTCCTTGTTTCACACCAGATTCAATTAAACTGAGGATTTTTTTCAGCTGTTCATTATCAATCTAAAAAGAAAACAAATAAATAAAGATTATGGTTCTTTATCACAATTTATTATCTTGTACTTTCTGTTTCAATTTCATAACATGTTTTTATTTCTTTCTTAAATAGAACTACATACAGTGAATTTAAGGTCACATATTTCATTCATTCCTGAAGGCTGTTTTTCAAATGAAATGCTTATGAACTGAAACAGGTACTTAACATTTCCACCCAGCTTAATAAAAGTTCCCAAATGTCCAGAATGTGCTAAACTCTTGCAACCATGCACATAACAATCCTTCAATCAATTAACATCGCCATTTTCACATGTATTTTGTTATACTGCAAGTTCTAACAGTTTTTTTTCCACAAATCATGATTTTTTTAAAAAACAACAGAAGAAATTGTGGTAAAATTTCAACAGGAATATAGAAATTTACCACAAAATCTCTAAAGGGAATAATGGTTTAGTTGATTTGGTTAGTTATGGTAAAGCACTAGTACTACTTGGCTGAGGGTAGAGATGCCTTCATGGAGGACTTTCTAAGGGAAAATGGCTTGCATACACGTTACACATGGAAAAAACCACAAAAACATACATGCAGCCAGCCTGTTCACCTAGAATCGAATCCCAGATCAGTGATTTTACTACTCGGCCGCTGATGAGCCCTAAATGGAACAACAAGGAGATGCATTTTGTAGATAACTGGTATTAATGAGGTTTGTGCAATGCAGAGTTTCTGTGATTCTCCGATTTTTTTTTTTTTTTTTTTTTTTTTTTTTTTTTTTTAAGCATAAACTGATCATTGTGTACATGGGAAGAACACAGCAAAAAAATTGCACTAGATAAAGAATGTAAGTGTATTTGTTTTTAATGTGTCACATAATCCTAGTTAAATAATTAAAATTTGTATCTTAAATTGCTATTCTTTTCATATGTTGATCATGTTTGCCAATTTACAGTAAATATTGATAGTTTCGGAATCTTTGAAAAAAGTTGTGAACCACAAATTTATACCCAATAAATAACTTTACCATTCCGTCTGTAAAAAATAGTTAAACTGCGCTAAGGTGTTTGTTTTAATGTGAAAGTACAATGGAACAATTCCCCCCCCCCATAAAATTAACGTAAAATGAATTAAGTAAGTAATGAATTAAGAAATTAATGTAAGTTTCATTATTTGAGAAGACTAGAATGTGAACATATAAAGATATGACCTTTTTCTCAGCTATTCTACTGATTATAATGAAACCATACACTGAATTATATAAGAGTATCAAAGAAATAAAATAAGAGGTTTATAATTCTGAATTTCTCATGAAACATTCAAAACAATCTGTTCTGGACTTCTTGTAGTAAAATGATACTGATATAAAAGAAAATATAGATAAAAAAATTATGCTATAAAAAGTCTAGTTTTATTCCATTGGGTCTAAGGTAATCTATAGAAAAATTATACTTTAAGAAATTTTAAGAAATTTTCTGAAAAAATTTTAAAATGGAAAAAAAAAGAAAAAGAAAAAAAAAAAAAGAAAAAAAAAAAAAAAAAAAAAGAAAAGAAAAGAAAAAATGAACATTGTAAAGATATTAATTTAAAAATTAGAAATAAAATGAAAACAATAGAATAAATCAGACAAGAGATTTCAGATACTGAAAACTTGTTTTTGGTGAGCACCTATAACATTAGTGGAATCACTGAAGTTCTCACAGTTAATTGATGAGGCGGGGTAAAACTGACATTACATTCTTAGAATTTAAAAATTGTGTTTTTTCGAAGAGACATGAGGAGAATAATAACTTAAATACAGATGATTTATTTGTCTTATTTAAAACAGAATTAGCTTGCATATGATTTATTTGTCTTACTTAAAACAGAATTAGCTTGCATAAGAAGTTCTGCTCAAGTTCAAGTAAGTCTTCCTCACAAAAAATATTCATTTGACTGGTAAAAGGCATGTGAAAATTACTGTTTCTTTGATTTATCAATTATACATCAATTTAATATTATTCATCAATTATTATTGGAAAAATCCAAAAACTATAAGCAGCTAACCCATTCACCATGAACCATATCACAACTAGCTGCCAGCTTTAACCCCTCAGATGATTGTGCACAAACTTTAGTGAAAAAACTAGAGAAATTCCGAACGTAGATGAGAATCTCAAAGCTTGCATACTAAAACATGATGCCCATCAGCTGATGAGTAGTCCAGCCACCAAACACTGGTAGTTTGGCCTTGGATTCAAACCCTGGCGAACAGGCCAGCTGCATGGAGGTTTTTGTTGTCTCCCCCCCCCCACATGTAATGTGTAGATGAGTCAGTTTTCCTTAGAAAGTATTAAATGAAGCCAACCCTTCTCTTTAGCAGATAGCTCTCGAGTCTGCTATAATCAAATAAACCAAACCTTAAATATCTTGGAGTAACACTATATTACAATCTTAATATTCTAATAAAAAATCCTTCATGGCATTAGCTTGTTCATTGCAAAACCTGACGAAATGTTGTTTTGCAAACAACCCACATCTCCCAGTAACAAAAAACAAAAGTATTACCGTATTTGACGGCATATAAGATGCACCCTTATTTAGACAGCCACACACAAGGAAAAAAGTTTCAATAGCGTGGTTTCTTTTAGTTCTCATGTTTCGTAAAAACCAAATAAACAATTATTGAATGCAATTACCTTCACGTATAAGACGCAGGTAGCTTTTTTGAGACCAAATTTAGGAAAGAAAGTGCGTCTTATATGCCGTCAAATACGGTAATGAAAAAAATATTTTTGATTACCATCTATCTTAAAAACCAGGAGATGATCTATAACTTATACAAAATAATTTACGTACTATGAGTAATATTCCTATACTTCATAAATAGAACATGCATATTAATGAAAATTATTTTTTTAATTAGTAAAGGGTATGTTTCTACTCAAAGTATGCAGAATTTTAAAATAAATTTTATTAAATTTATAGAAAACATATAACCTTTAAAAGAAACATTATACCGAAATTTGAAATGAAACAAATATTTAATGAGATATGAGCATTTCAAGGAAATAATTTTTACCAGTGTGTGTTGGACATAATACATCAACCTTTTTCTTTCATAGTTTAGTAAACAAACATATATAGCAACTTTAAAAAATTATGGACAAATGCAGTGCAAATTCAGGAAGATATTGAGAATACATTCGAGTTTCTTTCTGAATCTAGATGGATGATAAAAGATCTTCCATGAATCACCATTTTCTAAATTTATTGGACTTGGTTCAGTATTATGCAAATAAGCAAAAATGTGTATGATGTTATATAAATGACAGTATCAATAATGCAAATTTTAATCTTTTATTGCAAAAACCTATCTATCATTCAAGAAATTTGGTACGATTTTGCATACATTCCAGTAAAAATAATTTCTGATATACATGGATAACTTATTTATAAAAAAAATGATTTTGTTGGATTTGGTCTTTTTTAAATGTACATGAGACAAGCTGTAGGAAGATTAAACAACTTTGAAGTCACATTGAAGTGAAAATAATATGAAGTACAGTAGAAGTCCAGAAATCCGCAATGGTTGGGACCAGAGGTTGTGTGGATTTTAGGATTTTGCAGATTTCAGAACAGAAAAGGATAATATTCAGATTAAAAGTGCAAAATAAATAAGGCGTATTAGATACATTTAATTAAATTATTATATACATTAATACAATAATTAATTATATGCATTAAATTATTATTACATATATAAACTGATTATACAGTACAAAGTCTTTAATCCGGACTCGTCGGGACTTCGGCGATTCCAGATTAGGAGTTTTTCTGGATTATAGATCATCAATTTAAATCTGGTAAGGTGGCATGTAGATATTATAAAATTAAAAATATGAAACCATAATTTATGAAATAAAGAGCAATTATGATTTAAAGGGTATCAAAATTAACAAAAAAAAAAAGCTTAATATTTATTTGTTTACTTTCTTAAACATTTCTTTCAGTGTAAGTTGTTTAAGATGCTTCCACAAAAAATTCAAAAAGTTCCTTTTTCTTTTTTCTTGTGTCATCCAATGCCATACTCCTCACATAATTTTGAGACGGATATGCCTTTATCCATTATTTTTTTTTTTTTTTTTTTTTTTTGGGAAGCAATTCCACTTTTTGTTTGATGGACATCGAAACATGCTCTCGCTTTGTAGATCCTTTGGCAGCTCCAGAATCAGAAACTCTTTTTGACATAATCAAAAGTTCAAGCTTACTTTTTATAAAATTACTCTAACAGTCTGTAAAAAATAATAAGCCGGATCCAATTAGAAGATTAAGGAACAACGCAATCTGCAACATTAACTGAAATAGATAATTACATAATTTTAGCCTAGCTTATACCGTCCATTATACATTAAATGTGCATACGTAAATGTATTATGTGCATGCATAAAGGTATTATGCACGTGCGTAAACGCATTATGTGTTTACGCACGCGCAGAAAGTTTGTAGCTTTGAGGTCTCGATTATAGATCATTCCGGATTATGGACGTCTGGATTAAAGACTTTGTACTGCATTATATTATTCATTTACATTAGGCTCCTTTATTTTTAAATCAGCATGAATCTGCTTCCCCTTTTCTCTCAGGAGTAGTCCTGAAATAGGTACTCCATCACTCCGCCGCTGCCGGAACGATTCGTACAAGACAGCATCGAGGTTTGCCGATTTTGCCGCATGTAAACATTTCCGGTGTTAAAATCACTGTTGCTGTAAAATTTCAACAGCTTTTTTTTATTGTTCCATATATCATACATAGTCCGTGCGACAATTCCATACAATTCTGCTATACACCGAGCAGTAGCACCTGCCTCCTTCTTTAGCAAAATTTCCATTTTTTTTTATTACCGTCAATGCAACATGTTTAAGTTTTTCAACGTCGCAAGCAGAAAAATCCCGAGTGAGTTGCTTATCTGTCATTGTATTAAAAACGCCGAAATTTAAAATATTCTTAATTTATCTACAAAATATCCAGATAAAAAAAAGACATCACTAAACAATCTCGTGAAATAACAAAGCTCAGAAAGTACAACAATGTGAAGCATGAACTTGAAAGAAGAGTTGAGTTAATCATCTATTTTTTTTACCTCGATGCATATTGTAGGGGAAAAAACTCTTATCATGATGTCAATAATTTGTTATTTCCATTAGGACTTATTATTATTCGGTAATTATGACGTCATTATCCAGTAAGTATTTTTTCTTCGATATTTCGTACTCCATGTTGCGGTTTCCAGAACCTATAAACTAAATGTTTCTATTTTGAGAGGCAACGCTGATTTCAGGAGTTGGCGGATTTTCAGTATTTAACTGTAATAATATGAAATAATAATAGATATTTCAGTTAAATGTCTGTTTTATCAAATGTCCAAATTATTGCCAAAAAATGTATTTTCCACTTATAATTTATGCTTACAGCATAAAGACTGGATGTTTAAGATTAATTTACCTGTGGTCCATGATCTGTAGCTTCATCAAAAGGATCTCCAAGGACTCTCTTCTGTGCACGTTCTGCACTTTTTGCCACAAATTCATCATAAATACCTTCTTGAACATAAGTTCGTGTGCCTGCACAGCAGCACTGACCCATATTAGAAAAGACAGCAGCATATGCAATTTCCACTGCTTCATCAACTGTGGAATACAAAATAGTATTTTTTATAATTCAAAGTATATGTGGTAATTACTTTATAAACTTCTTAAATTTGTAATAGCACAGGAATTTAATTTATAAAGGGAATAAAGAAGACCGATTGTTTCAGGGCTGACTAGCATTGTTTAATTATGAAAAACCACAATGCTCCATGACGATGTTAATAGAAAGCATCTCAGAAAATAGGTTTAGAGGACTGTATGTTTAGAGTTGGACTGTTTAGAGCAATTTTCATGTAACAGATTTAAAGTTTAAAAGGATTGTGTATTACTCCTAGCATTAAGCCTCACAGGCACAGAGTTTATGTTTCTCAATATTAAACAAAAATTAAATGTGTCCTATTTTGTAATTATTTAAACTTAACAAAATGATAAAATTGCATTATTCCTTTTCCACATAATGTAACATTTTTAAACGTATTTTACAAATACTTAATAAAATTCAAAGAAACTTGCAAGATAATGCATGTTGTCTCAATAAAATCTCACATATGAATTTTACATGACTAAGTTTTTTCACGTTTAACTCATTTTGCTTTACCAAAATTCACGATAAAATTTTTTATACGTAATTTGTTTTATATTTAATCCTAATGCAAAATCTTTATTTTGACAAAGAATAAATTTTCAGTGGAAGCTAATTTCCTACATTTTTAAATACATTAAATTCTTACCATCTGCATCATCAAAGACAACAAGAGGACTTTTGCCACCCATTTCTAAAGTAACTCTTTTGCAGTTGGAAACTCCAGCGGCTTCAAGTATTAACTTCCCAACCTATTGACAGTCAAAGTAAATTGTGAATACTTTGAAATTCATTCCAAAATTTAAATGCTCATCTTTTACAATATCTTTATAGCTCTAAATATCAAATAATCTGCACATCAACTACCAGGTCTGAAAAATAATGAAAAAATAAATCTGGAAAAAATTCAGTATTATTGCATTTTTGAAGACAAAATTGCAATTTGGTTTAATAAATTCAGACATGCAAAGATCTATTTAGTTCCAACTGAAAGATCTACTATTGTATAATTCAATAAAAATTATGTGATGTCACATTCAATGTTAACATCAAATTATATTTGATAAATTAATGCTTTGACAACACAGAATATGCCAGTGCAATTTTTAAAACTTATCAAAAAACAGAATCATTAGAAATAATATAATTAAATTATCATTAAATACTTAAATTATCATTAGAAATCTTTTTAATTCTTTTAAGAACAAATGATTGAAAGTTTATCAAATATTATTTATTATACATTGACTTGGAATGAATAAAAAAATCAAGACATAATGACAATATTTTTGATAATAGGTATCATTTTATAACATATATCATGCAATACAGCATTTTAACTAATGTAAAAAAGAATATTTTCAAGATCATGGGCACAAGATGAATGATAACTTCATGTGCAAATATAAGCTTAATATTATCTTTATAAACATAATTATATGAACATCTTACTTTAATCCTCACTTAAATTTTGAAAATGATGGAACTGCATTATTATTTTGAATTATAAATGATTTATTTCAAAAGCAGTAAAAATGATTTAAAAAATATTTATTGAACTTGCATGCAGTTAAAGTCTAATACCTATAAAACAGATGCTTTGTAATCGAATATAATAATTCTAGCATTGCTACCACTCTTCATAGCACTGAAAGAAGTTTCCAGTTGAGATATTATTCAAGCTGCTTGAGCAGAATTACCTGGATATTATTAGCTGCTAAAAAATTATGCCCTCTGAGGAGAGTTTGAGCACCGGAAATAAATTGAGTGGAACCAAAACAGGATTATACAATGTAAAGAAGAGCACTAAACAAAAGAGCTGTAAATATGTTTTAGCCAAAATTTTGCCCACAGGCAACAACAGCATGCGACTTAGTACATTGCTGTGATGATAGAAATGTGGATTTTCGAGTTTCATTTTTCATGTTGCAAACAACTATTTTTCAAATGCTTGCATCTCTGTAAGAGACATTTTTCTCAGTTTCTTGAGTTGAAAGGCATTATGTAATGATACCTTTAAATAAGTATGTATATATGCAACAAGAAGTTTGTCTAAACAATTAAGACAGTATACCAGAAGGAAGAGAATCAAGATACACGGTGACAGAGTCATTTCGGAGTTATAATGAAGAAAACTGTATTTTCTTATGGCCCTTTTAGGAACTTTAAGGTTTTGGAATTGGAATCAAACTGTTTGTCACCTACAGGACTAGTTTATTACTTGAGTCAGATTCTTAATAGAAAATTTAACAAGAAATATAGATTTTCAGTTCAACTTTAAACACAATAATATTCAGAGATAAGGATATACATTTAGAATCATAAGATTAATAACAATAATATAATAATTAAGACAAAAATTAAAAATATAAAAACTCTTTAGGATTATAAAATAGGCATCTGTTCTTTGAATAAAAAATTTCTTTGTCTGAAATAAATGAAAATATCATTCCCTTTGACTAGTTAATCCAAGTGGCAATATGAAATTTTGATACTTTTCCATCATAACCATAACATGAATTTTTGGCATTATATCAATGAATTTATACTTCTGTTTTTACACCTTCGATTTGAATTTTTTTTAAAAAAAAAAGGATTGACCAGGAACAGCAACAAGAACACATTCTCTAGTTTCAGCAAAATTCTCCAAAAACGAATCATGGTGGGAAAACAAGGAATGTATACATATATATTCTTGTTTTAGATATGCTTTCATCAATTTCTATAACTTTGCAACATCCACTGATTATAACAACAGGAGGATGTAATAAGGAATTGGCCTATATATATGTAGCCCTACTTAGTTCATGTAATCATTCCAACCAATCTTGAGCTGTGATTCATTGAAAGCACAATGGACATATTGTGCATTTAGTTCACAAAACTCAATAGACATTAATTCCTGTCACCATACATAAATGAATCATAAACCAGTAACTAAGGGCATGCATGATCTTAAAAAGCATATTTGTCTTCCCAGCATGAGCAAAAGCTGCACAGATATTTTAGCTTAAACATATTTTAATTTCATTAATATAGATGTTTATTCAAAAACAACCTTCCATTGAGAAAAATATCTTTTAAAAAACTGGATAATCATGTATCACTTGCATTTATTTATCTGAAAAATGTGGTTTGGGGAATGATATTGATAATTATCACTAGAAAAGACATGAAACCATCGCACTGAGAAAATACGTCAAAGCAAAGCACCAAATGGTACAGCTTTAACCCTCTAAGTGTCCAAGCCTTATACATGTATCTTCTAAAATATTTATCATATCTCTAAACAGACATACACATAATGAAATGTTTCCACACAATAAGGCTGGTATAAGTATTTGAAAAGGAATCAAGGTAAAGGGTCATTTTGGAAATGTATCAAAAAAATCCCATTTACTCAAATGGCCCTTTTGGGAAGTACGGTTCTGACAGCAAACCATTGGCTGCTACAACCGTTAATGAAAAATACTGAAATTTCTATGCAATCAAAAATATACCTCTCAGATAGTGCACCTCACCAATTACATGTTAACAATCTTAAGTATAAAAACAAATTACTATTGCTACGCTGAGCATAGTATTTCAAACTACATAGCGGTACTTTGATATTATCAAAGCAAATGAGTTATTTAAACCAGATCTGAACTTTAAATAAATTTAAAATCCTTTTAAATTTTTCTAGAAAGATTTCAACACAGTTACAATTTTTTTAACTGATGATTTTCAAGTAAAAAATTAATCAGCTTTCGCACATTTTTAAAAAATTAGGAACTGTTAATAAAAATACATTGATGGCAGATTTACCTCAGTTGATCCAGTAAAAGCAACTTTGTCAATTTCTGGATGAGCAGCAATTGCTGCACCAGCAGTAGGTCCAAATCCTGGAAGAATATTTACAACACCAGGAGGAAATCCTGCCTCTTTAATTAAGCTTGCACAGTATAGAGCAGTTAAAGGAGTCTGTTCAGCTGGCTTTACAATTACTGTATTTCCAGTGGCAAGTGCAGGTCCCAACTTCCAGCTCAACATCACAACAGGATAATTCCACTAGAAAAGTATTTTACTCCCATATTATCAAAATGGTATTTAGAAAATTTAAAGCTGATTACAACAAAAGCTTACAAAACACAAATCTTAGTATTACAAATTCTATAACAGCCACATGCTACAAAACCACAGTAGTAAATGAAGTTTAGGAAACATGAAAAACAGTGAGCTATTCACTTCATCTGCTGTTATAAATTTTCTTTGTCAACAGTAAAAACATTAGTTTTACTTAAAAAACATGAAGTTTAAACAATTCAGGGTCAATAATTAAAACCGGAAATTGTGATCCTGCACGAAAATATCCTATGAAAGAGAGCTTTCAATACATACAAAACAAATAATTGAAAGTTCATGGGATTAAATGAAATTTCAATTAAACTGGGTCATGATTATTCATGACTTTTAATGATTATTACGTCCATCAGACTTATATATTTGCATACATTTTATAATATAAACAGATATAGATTATTTAATTCCTTTTTGTTAAATAGAAAGTACTTTCAATGCATTACAAAAAATTTTTAACTCTTACTAGTGCTTACAACAAGCACTAAATACATTCACATCAAAAAGTACATTCACTTCATCTTAAAATGATTTTAAAGGCTTTAATACAGTCTAAAGTCGTTAATTCGGACACCCATAATCCGGAATGATCTATAATCCGGACCTCAAAGCTAAAAACTTTCTGCGCATGCGCCGCGTTGGCACATGCGCACAGGCGTTTTACGCGTGCACGTAAGACCTTGACTACTGCGCATAGGCGTGTGCGCAAGTGCAGAATATGTTTTCGCCTGCACGTTTAATGTATAACGGACAGTGTAAGCTAAAATTATCTAATTATCTATTTCAGGTAATGTTAATGATTGCGTTGTTTCTTAATCTTAGAATTGGATCCCACTTGACTGTAAGAGCAATTTATAAAAGTAAACTTGAACTTTCGATTATGTCAAATAGAATTTCTGATGCTGGAACTTCCAAAGGATCTACAAAACGAAAGTATGTTTCGATGTCCAACAAACAAAAAGTGGAATTGCTGCAAAAAATGGATAAAGACATGAAGAATGTGACAGAGAGGTTAGTGAAAACAAAAAAATTTCGATTTACAAGTTAGTCGGTATTCTCAGCACAGCAATTAACGGGACTTGAACAGTGGAACTTTGTAACTGAACAAGAAATTATGTCTGTTTATAGAATTAAAGAGAAAGTATTATCACATAAAATGAAGCGACTTAAACAACTTACATTGAAAGAAATGTTTCCATAAAGTAAACAAATAAATATTAAGCTTTTTTTTTTTTTTTTTTTTTTTTTTTTGTAAATTTTGATACCCTTTAGATCATAATTGTTCTTTATTTCATAAATTACGGTTTCATATTTTTAATTTTAGAATTTCTGCATGTTATCTTACGAGATTTAAACGGATGATCTATAATCCGGAAAAATCGATAATCCGGAATCGCCGAAGTCCCGACGAGTCCGGATTAACGACTTTTGACTGTATTATCATCTGGCACTATCAGCATTAATAAGACATTATAAAAATATTTTAATATTTTAGTCAGCTACTTCTGTGCTAAGAAAAGTCGTTAATTTAACTTTTTAAAGTTACATTTGAAAACAAAATATAAGAATGACTCACAGGTATTATCTGCCCACAAACTCCTTTAGGTTCAAGACGAGTGTAAGAGAAAACATTTCCATCTAGAAAAGGATAATCAACTTTTTAGCACATAAATTTCAACAGTTAAGTGAAACATAATACATTTAATGGCTGACCCCCCAAAAAAAATAAAAAGCAGAATCAGTTTATTGCTACTTTTGATTTAACCTCTCACGGAATTTAAGTCACTTCTGTTAATATCCTACATAACTTATAAAGTGCTTTCTCTTCCTTATTTACTTCAGTAAGTCTTAAATATAATTCAGAAAAGAACACTTAAGTACATTATTTCACACTTAGCATTTAAATTCCATATATAATAGAGTTATTTTAAAGACATATATATGAATTATATCAAAAGCAGAACGATGTTAGCAAATTTTAATGCTTAAGAGAAATCTTAATTGCAATACTTTATTATACTATGTGATTTTTTTATTTCATTTTGAAGTTCTCATTTTTTCCCACAAGCTGTTTTGCTGCCCTTTCACATGACTCTCAGTAATATATTTAACCCTTTGACATACAATGATGTCCAGGAGACATTATTCATTGCATGCACCATAGTTGGGCGTCTCCGACATGTCAAGAATTGTTTTTGGTGAAAGCGAATCTTTATATTAGATTCTTTAACTGTTTCAGTTGCACATTGATGCTATTTAGTTGTTTAACATGTCTTCCCCCTCTCAACAGTACCAATAAACAAAATCACATTGCCAGACGAGCAAAGCGGGAAAAAAACACAATGAAAAGCAGTAGTCAAAACAGGAGTGATTTCGCACGACAAACACCATAGCACATATTTGAATTTAGTAAAAATTAGAAAATAGCCCTCCCAACATGTTCGAGTTGAATGTAGTACATGAAAATGACGATGAAAGTCTATTACACTATCCTACTGATGATAATGAGCATGAAAATGGTCATCAAAGTGTTTATACTGTTGAGTATTTACGTGATGCTCCAAATTCAAGTGAAGCTAGCTCTGTTCGCCAAAACGTATGTAAACATGCAAGACCTATTTTTAAGCAATGAAGATTCTGATGCAGCAGAGGATGAATGGAATTGGAAAGAAAAAGAAAATATTATGAATATAAAACAATTTACTGTAACTTCCCATATCAATTGTTTAGTTCTTCAAAGATTGGGTACAAATGCAATACCTCTGTGTGTTTTCAAACAAGTTTTATGCAATTTTTTTTTTTTTTTTAAATGATACGAAATGAATAGATATGCAGTGCAAATGAAAATGAACGAGGAGTGGTGTCCGTTGACAAATTATGAAGTTGGAGCAAATGTCGCAGATAAAAAAATCTAAAATAAGACATGTATTGATAAAAAAGAAAAATATTAGAAACACTCATATTTTGCGAACTATGCCTCCTAAATATTTTTTGGTCATAACGTACTCTCTTCATTTTGTGGATAATGAGATGGTTTCTAAAGACAGAATATGAAAGGTTTGATCTGTGGTGGATTACTTGAATACCAGATTTCAACAACTAGCATAATTTCCGGAAGAAAGGCCGCATCAGCGTAAACGCTGCACTCGAGAAAAATGGCAGGAAAAAAACTTAAATTACACAGAAACGCCGCATCAGCATAAACGCCGCAATAGATTAAATTTTACTTACAAAAGTGAATCCTACGTGGGCAAACGTATAGATGCATATGAAGTTATCAAAATCTGTATTCTTCACTATCTGAATTAAAAAGATTTAGTAAATCATGATCTAAGTCTTCCAGATCATCACATTTCATCGTCTTGGTTTACAGTCTCTTTATCTAAGGATATAATTTCAGCTTCTTTGAACCCTGCTAATTACTTGAACGATGATTTTACCGAATTTCCACGCACTTCCTTCCCCACTTTGCAACCTTCTTCAAAAGATGCTCTACGTATTTTACCGCTTTTGGTTTACGTATGCAACCTTTCACTCATCCAACACTCCCACCACTTTCGGACTTCAGCTTTGAAGAATTTATTACCTGACAAATCTAATGGTTGTAAAATTTTTGTCAAACCACCAGGAATTATTGCTTCGGTCGTAGACAATTTTTGACATCTGGTTTTCACTGACTCAAAGAAATGAGCATGCATGGAATCCATTATCAATAACCCCATTGGTTGGAAAAAAGATCCCATACAACACTGCCAAACTTTTTGTAGCCACTCATGCATGATTGTTTCGCACATCTAGCCGTTTTCGTTTGCACAAATAATTACGTTATTAGGAAAAATCTCCCTTCGGAATAGTCTTTCGTTTAAAAATGATTATTGGCTTTAGCTTGTCACCGTTTGCGGCACAAGCTAACACATATAATGACGTTCTTTCATGCCCCGTCATAAAACACAGATACAGTTTTTGCACCACTTTCATCAACAGTTCAGTTTGCAGAAGAGTCGAAAGCTAACAGCGTTTCATCCATATTTATTATCTGTGACCGAAGAAGTGTTTTTTTTTTTTTTTTCCTGTCAATTATAGCTGTCACATATTTTAGAAAAGATGACCTTTTTATCCTGCCAGTTCCATCGGTAATTGTTACCCCCGACTGTTGTTCTAGGTACGCACCAGAAATATTTTTTCTTTTCATAAATCTACTATACCAGCAAGGCCCTCCTTTGAAATCATTTATGTTCATTCGTTGTGCTATAAATTTTGCTTGTAAGCCGAATTTTTACAGTTGAAATTGCCATTCCCTTTCCTCGTTGCTTCCTTTATCCAGTTTACAAGGTCGTCCTCTAGATTTGGCCACCTTACAGTACTTCTTTTGGCTCGTTTCTGTTGTGGCATATTTTTAAGAAGTTCTTTTTCAGTTCTCCAACGTCGAATACATCTGTTGTCCACTTCAAACTCTTGAGCTGCTGCTCGATTTCCAATTTGTTCAGCAAGTGAAATACATTAAGCTTAAAACCAGCAGTATAGCTTCTGTGCCATTTAGGGACATTTTCAAAAATTTTTCGCTCCCATCTTAGTTAAAAACTATCCAACAAGTACTTGTACCCAAACTGATGGGATCTGTATCTGGCAGAATGCCAAGAAAAATCCATTCATGCTGAAGGGGAAATATGTCAGAGTTTGTTATTGCGGGGCAGGTGGAGTTGTTTCCAGGCAGGTGGAGTCGTTTCTGCCTTTGAAAAAAATTGCAGAGAAGGCAGGGGTGGGGAGAGGATGGGTCCTGGATGATTCATCGAATGGCAGAGGAGAGAGACTATTCAAACTGATGAGAATGTTGATTTGAAAGGGGGAAGAATGTTATTGCTCTGAGATCTGGTTTAGGGTGAATAAAGCATGTAGGTCCGTTCAAGGGAAAGAACGTAAACAAAATAACGTTCGCAAAAAGCAACTGAGTGGTCTTTTGTGTGGGAACAGCACCAGTCTATGCACAATGACAAGGCCATCCAAACTATGTACAATGACCATCATAGGAAATATTTTAATTTTAGTGCACCTAAACGCCGCATGCGTAGAAACGCCGCACCCGCTGAAAATTTAAGTTTTAAACATGTAAACGCCGTGGCGTTTCTTCCGGAAATTACGGTATATATTCTGGAACGAAATATTTTCATTGACGAATCCTTAAGGAAATTCACAGGCAGATTGCTGCAAAGTGAATGCTCAACTCAGTTACATGCAAAACACTGGGTACATTTTCCTGAACATATATATGCGAGAAATATAAAGCAACATCCTGCAAAGAGATGCCATGTGTGCATAAAACAAATATAACAGAACATGTTATATTTGTTTTATGCGCACATGGCATAAAACAAATATGTGAAACAACTCGGCAGTGTAAAACATGTCTAGTTCCACAACATATTCCAAAATATTTTGAGATGTATTGCAGTTTACAGAACTATTGAATTATTATTTTGTAGTATTACTTAATTATTGTACATTAACATTTGCTATATAACATTCAATAAGGTTGATATATATAATGTAAATTTTAGAATAAAATATTCTGTTTCTAACCTTGCATACCTGCATCCACAGTTCAGCCAAATTAAATGGTATTCTTTGGACACATTGACGTGTATTCTATTTGATTGTGAAGGGGTTAAATATTTCAGCTAGAGTTAAAACTGTCAGGAAACTATGAAAAGTACTCTAAGTATTAAGCTTAAGAAGGCTGACTGAAAAGTTTTATGGCTAATTCTTTTATTCAGAATCAAAGAGCATGGTGCCTGTACACTTTTTAATATGAAAATAGTGTGTTTCACAATTATATTTTTAGCATAGGAGTCCTATACATTATTTAAAGTGAGAAAGATAATTTTGTGACCCTTTTTAATACTGCCATCATAGTATTTTTCATTTTTTCATCGAAAAAGAGAATTTTACACAAATGGCTTTCAGTGTCAAAAATGTCCAGATATCAACTTCACATTAAGACACAGAAGATTTTCCAGTGCTGTTTCATAGATTTCATACAGTACTGTACATGATAACAGCAGTGTTGCTGAGTATTGTTGATATGTCGACCATTTAACACAGTTAAGGCGTTTAAGTAAACTGCCTTCTATTTAACACAGCTTTATAAAAGAATCATAAGCTAGAATAACTATGAAATCTTTATTTAACAAGTTACCGAATTTGTTTAAACAAGTTACAGAATTTGTTTAACTTAAATAGAACAGAAATCAAAGTTAGCGGTCTTCACAAACATTTAAACCGAAGTGATAAAAAAAGAAATTACGTGAGACTCATTTATAAGTTTTAAATATCTTCAGGCTTATTAAGGCAATATTATCAGGAATATATTCCTGATAATATTGCCAGGAATATATTCAAAAAGAATGAAGCTCATGTACAATGCAAGCACAAAATATTTTTAAGAATTCTTCAAAAACACAGGTAGAATCCACTCTCGCCAATATATTATTTGGTGCTCATTTGTTTTTTACATTATCAAGTTTCATTATGCAAAAGTGATACTAATTTATTCTAACATTGCCCCTGTTTTGCTAATGAAACTCATACAAATTGCAATTGATTCTTGCAAACCTAAAGTTTAGCTTTAGGAATAGGTTTAA